TCGCGGACAAGCGCAAGGCAGCCCCAGACACGAAAAGCTGACCCAACACCAGGGGACCCAATCCAAAGACTGGTCGGTGAAGCCTCTAGCCGCGAGACGCGCGGTTGGAGGTTCAGCTGGTGAGCGGCGTAGCGAACCGCGTAGGGCCACAGAAAATGGGGCGCGCGGGCATCAATCATGGACATGCGGGCGATATCCATGACCAAGCCAATGCGGCGCTCAGCAACCCCATTCTGCTGTGGGGACTCCGGCAGCGTCCAGGACTGTACGATGCCCTGCTCGCCGCAGAATCCGGCAAGAATGCCTGAGCGAAACTCACCCCCACGGTCAGAGTGGAGACAGGAGACACGACGGCCACGAGTGCCCTCAGTGGCTAGAAGCCACCGGATCAGCGTAGAAGTCACCTCGGACTTCTTCACGAGAGGAAACACCGTGGTGTACCTGGAGAAGTCGTCAACGACCACCAGAAAGTAACGCTCCCTCTCAGGTCCCTGCGTAGGTGCAGGGCCCCAGACATCCAAGTGGAGTGTATGGAAGGGAGCAGTGGCCGGACGAAGGGAGGAGGAGTGCGGAGTGGCACGAAGACGGCCGGCGACGCAAGGAGTGCACGGCGGCGCAGGCGAGGGAGGGAGCGACAGGAAGACGCGAGGGAGACCTGAGACAAGACGGTGACTAGCCATAGTGCGGAGGCGGGGGAGCGACGCGTGGCCAAGACGGTGGTGCCACAAGACGGTCCGGTGGGTGAAAGACCAACACGAGCAAGACGCAGCAACTAGACCGGACACAGCAACCTGACCGGACACAGCAACCTGACCGGACACAGCAACCGGTGGGGACGCAGTAACCTGACCGGACTCTGCTACCGGGGGGGACGAAGCAACCTGACCAGACGCAGCTACCTGCGGGGGCGGAGTGTGCAGGACGAAGAGACCTGAGTGGGGCTCTCTGGTGAACGTGGCAACCAGTGAGAACGAGGGGATGTAGAGACCAGTGAGGAAACCAGAGGGGACAGCTAGGCACGGGAGGGTGGTCGAGCTGCGAGCAACTGCTGGTCCTGAAGTAGGATCAGCCAGGGCAACTGGGACTGGAGCCGAAAGAGGTGTGACAGTGGTGTGGTCGTGGAAGAAGCACTGAGACGCGCCGGAGTCCAGCGTGAAGGAGAGCGACGCAACAGCAGTCGTCACGGCCGGGCTAGTGACTACACAAGCACCTACACTAAAAGCACAAGTACCGACACTAGCAACAGGCAAAGGTCCTAAGCTAGGTACACGTAAGCCAAGAGATCCGTACGTGACAGAATAAACAGCATCCATAGACATATCAAACACAGGATAACCACTACGAAACAGACCGGGCCGGATCGGGGGAGCCGACTCAGGCCCAAAACGCTCACGGTAAAGGTCGTCGAGGCGGCTGTAGCAGCGCTGTGCAGAGTGGTCAGGACGCCAGCAGGTAGTGCCAGCACCAGGGCTGGTCAGGATCCGGTACTGGCAGGGGCCGACGTCGCGGCCACCGCGACGAGCCCCCCAGCTGGCTGGGCCGCTGCTGCAGCCAACGCGACCTGAACCACCAGGCCCCCACGGCTGCTGAGGGCGCCACAGCTGCTGAGGGCGCCCCTGCTGCTGCGGAAGCCACTGCTGAAACGGCCGCTGCTGCTGTCCCTGCTGCTGGAGAACCCTAGTGGACTCCATGATAAAAGCTAGCGGGGTGCAGGAGTGGCAGGCTAGGAGCGACAGGAGCTAGGGACGGCTGCAGTGAAAAACGAGAACAACTAGGAGCGCCAGGTGAAACTAGGCGAGTAACTGCTGGAGCACGGGGCAAACTAAGCTAGGAGCGCCAGGTGAAACTAGGCGAGGAACGGCTGGAGCACGGAGCAAACTGAGCTACGAGCGAGGAGCGAGAACGGCTGGAGCGAGAACGGCTGGATCTAGAACGGCTGGAGCTAGAAACGGCGAGCTAGGGCTGGCTGGAGGTAGGAACGGCCGGATCTAGAGACCGTAAGTGCGGCTGTCGGCTGCCGCTAGTAGAGCCACTGGCAGTGGAACGTACGTGCGACAGTAGGGGCTGCAGTACTGACGGCTGCGGGATGCAGGCAACTGTGCAGGTCGTCCGGCAAGCAGGAACGCGGGCGACAGTTGCAGGCCCCCACCCTAAACCCTGTTTTTTTTTTTCTAGGGTTTAATTTTTTATTTATGTATTTTCTGGTGCTAAAGCGCTCCGGGGCGCGCTGCCTGCAGGGTGTGCTGCCTGCGGGGCGCGCTACCCGCGGGGCGCGCCGCCCGCGGGGCGCTCTACCCGCGCGGCGCGCTGCCTGCGGGGTTGGGGCGACGGGCCAGGGCGCGGGCTGGGGCGACGGGCTAGGGCGCGGGCTGGGGCGACGGGCTAGGGCGGGCGCCTGGGCGACGGGCTAGGGCGCGGGCCTGGGCGACGGTCTAGGGCGTGGGCTTGGCCGACGGGCTAGGGCGGGCGCCTGGGCGACGGGCTAGGGCGGGCGCCTGGGCGACGGGCTAGGGCGCGGGCCTGGGCGACGGGCTAGGGCGGGCGCCTGGGCGACGGGCTAGGGCGGGCGCCTGGGCGACGGGCTGGGGCGGGCGCCTGGGCGACGGACTAGGGCGGGCGCCTGGGCGACGGGCTAGGTCGGGGGCCTGGGCGTCGGGCCAGGGCGGGCGCCTGGGCGTCGGGCTAGGGCGTGTGCCTGGGCGACGGGCTAGGGGCGCAGGCTAGGGGCGCTGAGGGCGCTAACGCGCGGAGGAGGAGGGCGCTAACGCGCGGAGGAGGAGGGCGCTAAGGCGCGGAGATGGCGCGGAGGGCGCGGAGGCTAAGGCGCGGAGGGCGCGGAGGCTAAGGCGCGGAGGGCGCGGAGGGCGCGGAGGGCGCGGAGGGCGCAAGGGTGCGGAGGGCGCTAGGGCGCGAGCTAGGCTAGGCTAGGCGAGAGGATCGACACCTACTCATGATACCATCTCAAAGTTAGCGAACAACAGAATGTATGAACTAGGGAAACAAGGGATACAAATGGCAACCCTAAAAGTGTTGTACTCCCTAGAGTGCTACTCACTGTAGCCTAAGAACCTATAATAACATTTGACATGCAGGGGCAGCGCGCACGGGCTGCAGGGGCGACGCGCGGGCTGCAGGGGCGATGCGCGATCTGCAGGGGCAGCGCGCACGGGCTGCAGGGGCGATGCGCGGGCTGCAGGGGCGACGCGCGGGCTGCAGGGGCAGCGCGCGGGCTGCAGGGGCGGCGCGCGGGCTGCAGGAGTGGCGTGCGAGCTGCAGGGGCAGGGTGTTGGAAACAAGTAACTTAAGCGCCTCTGTCGTGTCGAAGCACTAAGTTATAAGCGAAGCGAAACACAGCGAAGCACCGGCGAGTCAACCCTCGGAGGTTGAACAACTGCTGGAGGTTACGCGAAAGTCAAAGGTCAGCGACCTTTGACCTGACAAGTACAGCGCGACAGCAAGGACAAACAACTGACTCGTTATTGAGCAGTTGCCCGAGTCGTCACTGTATCGAACCGCAACAGCAACAGCAAAACAGTTATTAGTTATAACCCTTCATATTCCTTGTACTCTTATAAAAGCTTGTATCTCTTTGTTTTAATCAATCTACTTTGCCCTCACATACCAGCGCAAGGTGGTTCACAAACTTCTCATTAAACGCTTCCGCTATTACATTGTCCTACTCAGAATTTAGTCCTGCAAAGATCCTAAGGGCTTTTCTCAGCCCAACATGGTATGAGAGCTATCAGGACAAATTCAACTACAATCAAGACACCTATAACGTCACAAGGCATGGCAACGCAGAAGGAGAGAAGCTCCTCTAACGGCTCTCCCGGTACTACTCCTACTCCACCTCCTGCCTCTGGCCTACAGACAGAGGAGGGCACAGCAACAAGACCGGCAGCTGGGTCTACCGAAACTCCCGCAAATCAAGCCGCGGCCTTCGACCCAGACATGATGGAGAAATTCTTCTCCTTCATGTCCTTCTACGAACAACACCAGCAAGGAGCACCTGCGCAGTCAAACAACAGCAACAACAACAACGCAACACCGATGAGCCTCGACGGTTCATCCTACGCACGAGGAAATCAGCAACAACAACCTACCTTCGCCCCGTACGAACCTCAGCGTGGTTCCGTCAGCTTCATGCCGCGCCAGCAGCCTTCACCTGAGCAAGAGAAGACACTAGATGCACTTCAAGTTCAGTCGCAGTTTGCGCACGTCTTAAAACTGCAGACGTCAAGACCGTTCGATGGAAAGGACTTCTTTACCTGGTCATTCGAATTCGAACTGATGATGGAAGGCGCGCAGATTCTTGGCTTCTTCGACGGGTCCCTGCCATATCCAACGCACGGGACACAATATGACAAGCAGCAGTACACATATCAATGCATGATGGCGTATACAATCCTACTACGCAACGTCACACCGAACCAGCAGCAGAACATTCGGTCTTACCGAGGATACGGGAACTCCGCCGAGCTCGCGTACAACCACCTGAAGAACCTGTATCAGGCAACAGACAGCGTCAATCAGAGTCGGTTAATGGCACAACTGACAACAGTGGAAATGAAACCGGGCGAAAAAGGGATGGCGTATATCAGCCGCTGTCGCGAATTGCGCGACAAACTCCTTCGATGCGGAGGGTCGATATCAGAAGACGCCTTCGTCACAGTCGTCATTGGCGGTCTTGGTCCTCATTGGCGCTCCACTCGCACCATACTCCGAGCTCACGGGAAGATCTCCGAAGCAGCACTATGCGCCGAAATTCACGCTGAAGAGCAAGACATGGACCTACAAGAAGAAAATACAAGAGGAAGACGTCAGTGCCTGAGTTCGCTTTCCACACTCAACGGCGCTACAACAACAACAACCATCGGCAAAACAAGTACCAAGGACAGCAACCCGTACCTCCGTTTTGTCATCTCTGCAAAACGTCAGGTCATCATGCTGGCAGGCTGCGCTGCGAGGGATTGTGGCCCATGTGTTGCACCTGTGGACCAATGGCCCGTTTTGTCTACATCGTGCTGGCAAGCATTGATGCATCCTCGCCTCCCTGCTGTGCTACCTGCCATCCACCATCACATCCCATTCTGCTCCATGCATTGCTTCCAACTGCTTGGGGTTTCATCGCGTTGCTTCGATGTGTACCAAGAGGCAGTCAGCCGTGCCGTGTGTTCTCTCTTCCTAGCATACCTCCGCTGCTGAAGAACTCCGCCGCTGAAGAACTCCCCGCGTTCGGGATGGTGGACTCCCTGATCCGCCAAGTGGCTGAGCATTTGGGGCGTTCTGGCCCGTGGCATCAACGGTTTATTGGCCTGCAGGAGGTCTTCACGAGAACTAACCTGGAGCTACAAGGGATCCACGATGTCCGCTGGCTCTCCCGGGGTGACGCCATTCTGCGCGCGGTAGAGGTCTTCCCCGCGCTGATCGTGATGCTGTATGAGTGGGACAGCAGCCTGTACGAGCTCGCCACCAGCTACATGTTTCACCTTCTGTTATTCTTCCTTGCAGACGTGCTCGAGCAGCTCAATGTGCTGAACAGGGCATTCCAGCAGCGTGAGGTGAGCATGGATGTATTTACGCTTGCTTGTGTGCCTAGTTTCGGTTTGTGCTTCACGGTTTGATGTACTGCTTAGCTAGAAGAGACATTGCACTGAATTGGCCTTCCTTCCATCCTCTGTTCTCCCTGTTGACCCCTAACAGCTGGACATTGCAAGTGTTCACGGGCAGATCCGCCGGTCTATTTCATTCCTCGAGTCCCGCTACGTCGACTGTGGTGACGACTTTGGAGGCGGGGTGAGCGCGCGCCTCTCCCCGTTCATCAAGAAGCACGGGCCTGAGGGGGGCAATCTCGAGGTGAAGGTGCAGGGAGTCGACTCGGACGGGCGGCCGACTACACACACCTTCAGCTGCACGAGAACCCGAACGAAGACTACCCGACCCTCGGCTCCCACGACGCATGCGTCGATCTCTGCACCACCTTCGCCGAGACGCTCGTGCGAAACCTCAGCACACGGTTCAAGGACCTGGACTCCCTGGTGGGAGTGCGGCTGTTCATGCCTGACGAGTGGGAGCCGGGGAGAGCAGAGCGCCACAGGCAGTGTCTCGAGTGGCTCGAGTCTCTCGTGACGCTGTTCAGGGCACAGGACACGGACTACATCATTCCAGGTAGTCCCGCTCTCGCACTGTTGCTGTCCTAGATGATGGTTATTGCATGTTATCACTGTATGGTGTACGACTATGCCAGCCTTTCTAATTCCCCGTCTCTCTCCCTTCCGCCTTATGTGGCAGGGGTCGACAAGCGGCGTGCGATCAAGGAGCTGCGTGCCTTCTGCCCCATCCTTGCAGGTGCCCCGAAGAACGAGCGCAGCTTCCACGCCGGCCTAACAGCAATGCTGAAGACAAGCGATTGGGCGACTAGCTACCCCAATCTCGTGCGTCTCTGGGTGGCTGTCGCCGTGCTGCCGCTGAGCACAGTGGAGTGTGAGCGCGGCTTCTCACGGCAGAACATTATCAAATCGTGGCAGCGGGGGAGCTTGAAGGACGCCCGCCTCGAAGACCTCGTCACTATGTCTCTACTCGAGTACGAGCCCAACTACGATGAGGTGGTGCAGATCTGGCGCAGCTACAAGAAGCGCCGCCCATTCGGCAATGTGGCGGCACCACCAGCAAGAGAGGGGGAGGGCAGTGGTAGCAAGGGAAAGGAGGCCCTAGAGGAGGAGGAGGAGTCGGAAGAACGACATGCTGAGGGAAGAGATGAATATGATGACAAGCAAGCCTCATCTGATGATGATTACTGAATTCTCCCAGCCCAGACACTTGAGTCATGCTTGATGCCTCCTTGCATAGCTAGCTAGCTAGCTAGATAGCAAGATAGGCTTTGGTAACTGGTTTACAACACAGATAGATAGATTGAAGGCTGATTGCTTGCATCCTAGTGTTTTTAACTTAAAATAAAGACTATTACTACTATCAGCCTTTTTCTGTAGGGGACACTGATGCATCAGACTTTTTTTAACAGTAACACTGAACTTTCAGGCTTTTTTTCTAGGCGACCCTGACGATCAGGGTCTAGGGGCAGAGGGACTCTGATACCCTTACGTGCCTAAAAGTGAATCTGAGGGCCTGGTCATCACCCGGAGATACCGTAAGACAGTGTTGAATAGAAGACAGGGGGTGTCTATTATCCGGGTGTCTCTTATAAACGGGGTAGCCTCATTATAAGATACCTATTTGTGTGTACGAGTTAAAGCCAGGGTCTCACATACTACAAGTGTTTTGCAGTTGTCAGTGCAAGTTTGTTTGTGATTGGTTGGCGAGTTGTGAAGTTTGAGGAGGGGTGAAGCGAGGAGTACGAAACGAATCCAAATCGCTAGGTGTAGCCGAACCTTCTAGGTTTGTAATTTTGGTTCGGATCCAAACCTAAAATGCCCCAGAATCGTCAAAAGTCTTACGCACTCAAAAGGTGTTGTGCAATTGCTTTTGAGGCACTGACGGGGGTAGGTTTCTAACCCAACCAAAGAGAAATTCGCCTGCACTAACTAGGTAACCTAGCTTCAACTGCTTTGCAGTTGATGGCTGCTTTGCTTACTCGAGACCCTGGCTTTAAGTCAGTGTAGGGGTTAGGGGCAATTGTATAACGAGGGGGTATCTTCTAAACGGTTATTTGTCAATTTATAAGACTTATAAGACACCCTAAACCGTCCCAAATACAAGACAACCCAAGCATTTTTGCCCGTGTACGAGATAAGACACATATGTCTTATATCCGGGCGATGACGGCAGTTTCCTTGCAACAAGGATGATTGGTTCATATCATAACAATTCTATAGGAATGGCACAGGGAAACATCTTGACCAGGTCCCCAGGTTGGTTGATCGGCATGTTAATCCGTCGGTTTCCCCCGACTTTTTTTGTACACTTCTGAGAAGCAAAACCAAACCACTAAATGCTTGCCAGATTGAGGTGGCTGTGGTTAAAGCCCGAGTCAGCTTAGTGTTTGAGAGACTGCACTCGAATACAAACTCGCACAGAAGCCCCACATATACAAAGGCAAAGAAACTTGTGAATCAGGGCTCTTGCTAGGATTTGGGCCTGTCTGAAAACACCAAAGTAAAAAATCGTTCTGTCTGACGATCAGACGGGCATATTTTTCTGGTCTGATTTTCCAGACGAATGTTGGAGCTTAGTCTGTTTTTTCAGACTATTTAATTCGCATAGTCTGATTCAGCTAACACCCTTGTCTAGCATAATCACACTTGTTTTTTGTTAATGAACGCGCCCCTGGCGCGGCGCTGATAGCTCGCTAGCTGACAGGCGTGTGGCTGTTGAGGGGCATGCACGTGGCATTGAGGTGGTGCGAGGGATCAGGTTGGGTGGAGGGACGCGAGAAGAAAGGGGGGGGCTGTGCTGGTGCGAGACTTCACGAGGGGCATGGGGAGGGGACCTGGGGAGGGGACCTGGGGAGGGGACCTAAGGCTGGGGGGAAGGGGGAGAAGGTCTGGACTAGGCCTGGAAGAGGAGCGAGGGCATCGAAAGGGGGCTTAGAGAAGCGAGGGATCGGGGGGGGGGGAGGGGGTTCGGTATCAGACGAATTGCAACCCGCTATCTGAAATTTCAGACTAAGTATTAGGCTTGCTCTGAAAAATCAGATGAACTAAATTTCGTAATCTTACGGATCAGACGAAGTAAAAATCCTCGTCTTGAAAATCAGATGAAACCCAAAATCAAGGTCTGAAAATCAGAAAATCAGACCAATTTGGTCTGATAACGAGAGCCCTGGTGCCCATGCTGTTGCGCGCTTCACGACACCCTCGTCAGCGCCGCGCCAGGGGCGCGTTCATTAACAAAAAACAAGTGTGATTATGCTAGACAAGGGTGTTAGCTGAATCAGACTATGCGAATTAAATAGTCTGAAAAAATCAGACTAAGCTCCAACATTCGTCTGGAAAATCAGACCAGAAAAATATGCCCGTCTGATCGTCAGACAGAACGATTTTTTACTTTGGTGTTTTCAGACAGGCCCAAATCCTAGCAAGAGCCCTGATGGGCACAACCAAGATGCCACCATTATGATTGTAATCGTGCACTCTCCTTCCCATTACCACCCCTGGAGGAGGTGGCGTGGCATGTAGTGCAGACTACGCGTGAGTGGCTCAAAAGGCCACTACCGCTGCGAGTGGGAGTAATGCCCGCGGTAATCCCCCCCTCCCCCTCCCCCTCCTCCTCCCCCTCTGTAAGAAGGATGGTGCGGCGAAGACCCTCCACTCCCCCCGCCACCGCCCCTCTCCCCCGCCGGCCCTTCACCATGGGGGTACGGCGGGTGCGGGGCAGGCATGGCGTGTGACGAGCGGTTGTACTGCGCATCCACATCCACGTACCCCGCCTGCAGGCACGAGGGCAGCGAGCACGCGTGGCGGCAGGAAGGGGGGGGGCAGGGATGAGGTAGAGGCAAGGAAGGACGAGGGGTGGGAGAGGGGCTTAGCGGTTGCACTGCGCATCCACATCCACGTACCCTGCCTGCATGCACGAGTCGTGGGGGAAGGGGGAAGCAGTAGAGCAAGGAAGGTCGGGGGGGGAGGGGAGAGAGGGAGGGAAGTAGATGAGCGGTTGTAGTGTGCGACGACATCCACATGCTAAGCCTGGATGGAGTAGCTGGGGGGGTGGGGGGAGGAGAAGGGAGAGGGGCAGGGGGAGGAGAACTAAAGAGGGAGCAGGAGGGAAGCAGGGGATAGGGATGATGGAAGCAGGAGCAGCGTCAAAGTGGAGCGCGGAGAGCAGACATGCACGGGTTTTGAGGTGCCGCAACACATGTGCATGCGTGGACTGGCATGCACGACTGCCCAGTGCGTGTCATCCACGTGCCCAGCCTGGACTACCGATGGTTGGCGGCAGGGGAGTGCGAGGGGGAGGGAGGCTTTATGAGGGAGGGAGGCGAGGAAGGATGCAAGGAGGGCGGACAAGATTGCAAGAATTGATGAACAGGAGGGCGCAGAGCACATGCACAATCACGATGCTACATGTGTTACACGTCTCCATTCTATTATCCTGCACAGAGTATTCAAGTCTACCTTGGGTGCACGACTGGGGTTTACCATTCTACTCTAATCCGAAGTTGAGTTCCAAGCTTGGGCAGGTTCCTTGGCAGGCAAGTGGAGGCAGGTTCCAGTGTTGGCTCCAATTGACCACGATGATTGGCCCACACAGTCACCATGTCAACCACACACATTGGCATGATCACATGATTATACTGGCGAGCACCGAATCACTTTGTCAAGAACCCAAGCGACCCAACATCCTCACCTTAATTATGTAAGCTTACACTGTTGTAGTCAAACCAACAATGACTTTCAAACCTTATCCCACCCAATGGGATTCTCACATCGCGCACAATCACGATGCCCCGTGCACAACCACGATGCCCCATGCACAATGAACTTGTTACATGCACATTTGGCAGTGCAGCATCTCACCGCTGGTGGGTAGGGCAGTGGTCTGCTGCCCGATGCACCGGCCGCCACCCTGCGAGGCGATGCGGGAGGAGAGCGCACGAGCGGGGCAAGGAGGGGATGAATGAATGTAAGCAACATGGATGGGGGGGAGGGGAGCGGATGGGGGGAAGCGGTGGGAATGAGGTGAAGTGAGGGGAAAGGGAGGAGATGAGGGAAACCAGAGGGGATGGGGGAAGGGCAGGGGCGAGCAGAGAGAGAGAGACTGGACGCTGGGGGTGGGGAAGTGGGTACAAGGCGATATGGGAAACTCGAAGGAAAGCTCCATGAAAAAAATGCAAGAGGGAAATGAATGGGGTAGACAATGGGGTGGTGCACTGGGCGGTAGGGATGCTGTGTGCATAGGTGGGTGGAGAACGATGTGTGTGATCCACCATGTGCTCGTTTGTGATACATATGGTTCAGCCATGGCCACACGCCTGCTATGACCTTCCACACGCTGTCTCACTCACAGACACTCATGCTGACCTTGACTGCATCTCCCATGCCCCATACACACTCACCCATGCCCCATACACACTCACCCATGCCCCATACACACTCACCCATGCCCCATCACACTCACCCATGCCCCATCACACTCACCCATGCCCCCCTGGTCGATTGGCACTCCCTCCGCCTCCACTTCCCCCTCCTCCTCTTCCCCCATACCCCCCTCCTCCCCCATAAGCTTGCCCTTGCCTCCCCCCTCCGCCACTCCCATACCCTCCTCCCCCGCCCCCTCCATACCCCCCTCCCCCTGACGCCCCTCCCCCTCCCCCTCCAGGCATCCGCTCCTGCCCATAATGCCCCCCGCCCACCCCCCCTTGCCTCCCCCCTGCCCCTCCCCCTCCCCCTCCCCCTTGCGGCATTCTCCCCCCAGCTGCCCCCCGCATATACCCGCCCCCTCCTGCGCCCCCTCCCCCTGCTGCCCCCCTGGGCGGAAGCAGAGAGGAGGATTGGCGCCCATGGGGGTGGGGGGGGAGCCCGCTTCCCCCTGGCCCTCCCCCTCCTCCTCCCCCCCCTGCGCGCTGCCGCTTCGCCATCTCCTCTGCCTGCTGCCGCTGCTGCTGCCGTCTTTTCTTGGTCTGAAACTCGTGAGAAGACTCGTACTGCGGCAGGCTGTCAAGGGCATGGCAGGGGAAAGGGGGAGGCGAGGAGGGTTGGGAGCGGGAAAGGAGGGGGAGAGTGGGCGGAGGGGTGTTGGGCTGGGACTTGGCAGATGACACGTACTGAGGCAGGCTGGGTGTGTACGGGTATGGCAGGATAGCAGGGTATGGCAGGATAGCAGGGTATGGCAGGGTAGCAGGGTATGGCAGGGTAGCAGGGTATGGCAGGGTAGCAGGGTATGGCAGGGTAGCAGGGTATGGCAGGGTGTAAGTGTATGGCAGGGGGCGTTGAGACGGAGGGGGAGGGAAAGGAAGAGGCGTTGGTGGATAGCACGGCAGGCTACCTGCCCGGGTCGCAGGGAAGAGGGTCGACCCAGAAGTACTCCGCATCCAGGGCGTCCTTGGCTGACAGCCGCTGCACCAGGCCATAAATGGGGCACCGTGGCGTGTCATGCGGTGCCATGGACGGGACGGGGGAGAACATTGAAGAGGGGGAGGAAATGGGGGGGAGATAAGGACCGGGGGGGAAGATAAGGACCGCGGGGGGGGGGGGAATGAAATGAGATGGCAGATGGGATTGAATTGAGGAGCGTCCAGCCAGTAAGAGGTACGGCTTCGTTGGCTATTACTCGCTGGAGTAGGGGTGGAATAACGGCCGAGACAACAGAGTAGCCAGGCACGTGACATGGTATGCATTCTCACATCACATGAGTTGAGCTTCTTAACAACATCCGCTCAAAAAGTGCTGGTTATCAAGTGCTGCTTAACTAATAGCAGGGCTTGTAAAAGTCCCGCGTGAGCATATTGTCAATGTCTTTGTATTTAGTTTTGACAAACAACCTAACGGTTTGAAGAGCGTGGAAAAGAAGAGGTGTTAGAAGCAGAGTGGTGGCAGTGGGGTGGGGCGCGCACCTTGTTGGGGTCGAGTGTGAGCATCTTGTCCAGCAGGTCCAGCGCATGCTTGTCCACACTGCCGCCACCGCCAGGGGAGGGGTACCGGGGGGGAGGGGGAAGGGGAAGGGAAGGGGAGGGGAGGGTAGGATGGACAGGGGAAGGGAAGGGGAGGGGAGGGTAGGATGGACAGGGGAAGGGAAGGGAGGACAAGGGAGGGAAGGAGAGGTTAAGGAAGAAGAGCGGAGCGGAGGGAAGGAAAAGGGATGGAGTGTGAGAATGTTGTTGGGCAGGTCGAGAAGCTCGTCCACAGCGCAGAGAGGGGGAGGGTAAGGAAAGGGGAGGACAGTGGGCATGAGAGCGCTAGTACGAGGAGAGGGAAGCAGTTTGGCGAGGCAAGGATGACATACAATCCCATGCCGTCTCCCCTGCAGTGCAGTGCACGTACTTTCTGAAGATGTCTCGCACGCGGCGCTTGAGCACGCGGTCGCTCTTGTGCTGCTGCATGTACGGCAGCTTCGAGCACCCCGCCCAGTTGCTCTCGTCCGGTGTGCCGCACAGCTGGAAGATGAGCCCCAGCTGCTCTATCTGGTGGCTCACAGGCAGAGGGGATGGAGGGCGAGAGGCACACAGATGGGGTGGGGGGCAGGAAGTTTGGAGCACGCCGGGCAGGCCAGTTGCTCTCGTGCGGTGTGCCGCACAGCAGGAAGATGAGCCCTAGCTGCTCTATCTGGTGGGTCACACGCACGCACACAAGAGGGCGTAGGGAGTGGACGCATGTGGGGGCTATGCGTGGAATGGCAGCTTGGTTGGACTTAAAGCACCCCGGCCAGTTCCTCTTGTCCTGTGTGGCGCATAGCTGGAGGATGAGACTCAGTTGCTCTATCTGGTGGGATATTGAACGAGCATCCAATGCGAGTCCAATACTGCGTTACTCACTTTCGCGCCACTAGTGGTGGTAACTGGCAACCTCACGAGTACTGGTGGAAAGCAGCAAGGAGTGAGGTGAGCGCACCTCGCTCTTGCCCGGCAGGATGGGCTTGCCGATCAGCAGCTCTGCGAATATGCACCCCACTGACCACATGTCCACTGCCGGCCCGTACCGCACTGCACCCATCAGCAACTCAGGCGGTCTGTGTGAGAGAGTAAAGGGGGGCGGGTGGGTGGAGTGGAGAGGTGAAGAGGCGGGGCAAGCGGACTGTGTGGGGATGCTCAGTGCTGCCCAGCACCTGTGGTGTGGGGATAAAAATATCAGAATGCATGAAGCAAGCAACCCAAGTGAGAGAGCCCAGCCAGAAGATTTTCGTGGGTCTAGAGGTGTCATAGCATAGCACTGTGCCACGGATACCGGGGGCCACCAGAATAACATTGCCATATTGGTTATTGATCATTGGCACCGCAAAACCTATTTGGTGTACGGTGTACCTAATCAGCACCACCCGCGGCAGCACAAGCACCAGTGCCAGCCATATAACCAGCAGCAGGTACAGGAATCTCAGCATTACCAAAGAATGAGGACTCTCGCCTCACTCATTGGTGATGGCATGGAACAAGCCATGCCAAATCTGCCGCAGAAATACACAACCTGACTCCCTCCATTCACACCGCACTGCACCGCCGCGCACACATTGACCGGAAATGTGGTGCGGTGCTCACCGGTACCAGAGGGTGATGACGCGGTTGGTGAGCTGGCCGCTGGCCTCGCTGTTGAAGGAGCGCGCGAGGCCAAAGTCAGCGAGCTTGAGCACGCCCTTGTTGTTGATGAGCAGGTTGGAGCCTGGTGCACGCATGGGCACGCAGGGCGGAACACAATGGCACGCCACGACACCCGGATGGCACAACACAAGGCCAGGGTCCGGATGGCAAACGAAACGGGTACAGCGGACAAAGGCCAAGTCTCAAAACTCAAAAGGGGGATGGGTGGGTGGGTGGGTGAGACGGTGGGCAGGTGAGTGAGTGAGCGACCTTTGATGTCGCGGTGAAGAACGGAGTTGATGTGGCAGAAGTGCAGCCCAGTGAGCAGCTGCTTCATGTAGCACTGTTGGGGTGGTGGTTGGGGGCACACGCAATCTCAATCACACGCCCAGGGTGTGCAGAGCAGGGCAAAAACGAATGAGAACAGTAAGGCATCTGAAAGACTCACTAACAGTCAAGACCGACATGACGCACGATGGTTACAGAATGGGAACAGTAACATGTATTTCACCATGATACATCGGGAATGAACAAAAAAGGTGCGCAAACAGAGGAGGACATGCAAAGCAGCACTCTCCTTCATCTTTGGCGCATTTGTACTGTGATTCGTGACCCTCACCTTCATCTGTGACCCTCACCTAGAACCTGTAGCACGTACCTTGCTTGATTTGTAGCAACGGTACATACATACTATGTTCCGCACTGACCACATGCACACCTTCATGTGCGCCCCTCACCTTGATCTGGGGCACGGAGAAGCGCATGGCAGGGCGATCGGAGAGGCCGGTGAGGTCATGGTCCATGTACTCAAACACCATGTAGATGCTGCCCTTGTACTTGTTGCTCTCCTCCGCTGCTCATGCACGCATGCATGCACCATAGCGCGAGTCACCAAGGCGAGCCATGATCAAATGAACACGTGAGAAGCATGGCACGGGCAAAACCTTCCCCATGCACCCAGGCATTGAGGACTCGAAAGTACTTGGCTGGAATTGCAATCTAAACTTGAGAAACAGGTCAATGGCGACTCCAACAGCGCTGATTTAAGCACACCCGCTGCTTGCCCATTCTAGCCTTGTTCACTCTCGCGCTCATCACACCCTGGCAGGCAATGGGCTCATCATGCAGCTGGGCTTGGGTGCAGCAATGTAGAGGCAGCACAGCAGAGCAGAGCAGAGCAGAGCACAGCACAGCACAGCACAGCACAGCACAGCACAGCACAGCACAGCACAGCACAGCACAGCATACCTTTGGAGGTGACGATCTCCTTGAGGTTGACAATGTTCTCGTGCTTGAGCTTCTTCAATATCTTGATCTCGCGAATGGCTGTGATGGGGAACTGCACACCGCACACATGAGACGAGGGAAAGGATGCAGGTGGAAGGGCGCAGGTGGAAGGGCGCAGGTGGATGGATGGGCGCAGGTGGAGCGGCGAAGGTGGAGGGGCGCAGGTGGATGGAAGGGCGCAGGTGGATGGAAGGGCGCAGGTGGAGGGGCGCAGGTGGAGGGGCGCAGGTGGAGGGGCGCAGGTGGATGGAAGGGCGCAGGTGGAAGGGCGCAGACGACTTTTGAGTCAACTCAAAGGCCAAGCCACCGCGTATGGCTGTGACAGAGGATGTGTGTGCTTGAAAGGGGTGGAAGGACCTATGGAGCACAATGCATATACACGCTGAAGCACATGGGGGACGGCATGAGTGGGGGGACAGGCAGCGAGGAATGAGATACGCAGAGCTCACGGTGAGCAATGAAGAGCAATAACAATCCACCAGAAAGTCAGTGCGGTTCAGGAATCTTGCTACCGGCACGCAGCCACTCTCTCACTCGCCCCCTCATTCTCCTTGCCGGCAGCAGCAGCGGCAGGCAACTCAACTCACCCCCTCCTTCTCGTTGTCCATGCGCACTTTCTTCAGCGCCACTATCTCGCCCGTGTTCTTCTCCCGCGCCATGTACACCTGCCTGCGGTGTCAGGGGTACAGAGCGGTGTGCAGGGATGGTTAGAGATAGAGATGGTGTGAGTTGGACGAATAACTATCCCCCGTCTACAGTGTTCTTCTTCCGCGCCATGTGCACCTGTCTGCCTGCACGCGTGAGGCGCACAGGAAGCAGCAACAAACGCATGCATGCGTGGTTGGTAGGCGACTTTTGAGTCGACTGAAGCGTCACCTGGTTGCCTGCGGTGCGCATACAACCCATTCTCGTCGTCTTCTGAGCGAAGACTCCTGCGTGACAAGAGCCTGACTGATGATACAAGTACCGTGCTACCTTAACCGCGTGCCCCTTTCAACACCACGCCTGCGTGCCCCTCTGAGCACCACGCCTGCGCGACCCTCTGAGCGTCCTCGCAGCAGGGCAGCCACCGCTACTCCTCTGCGGTTGGAATATCGTCTATCTCGCTCCAGCGGACCCGCCGTTTCACTCTATCGTTTTGAGGTTCCACAGCTTTCCAACCCTTCTCAACCGTCACTAACCACGAATTTCGCCTTTCGTGCTCGTCGCATCACTGGCAGGTCGCCTCGTTATCATTCGCAACCCTGGTATGTGCGCTCCCTTCCAAATTCAACGCCACTGTCACTGTTCGCTTAACTCCTTCCAGCGAACCCGTTCGTCCCAACTCCCCTCCGCTTACCCGCAGGCCACAACTCCCCTCGCGCTCACCCGTAGGTGCCCTCGCCGATCTGCTCCAGCTTCTCGAACTCCCGTAGGGCCTACCTCACCTCCGCTAACCCGTACGCCCCATCCCTCCTCGCGCGTACCCGTAGGTGCCCTCGCCGATCTGCTCCAGCTTCTCGAACTCGTCGATGCTCCGCGACCCCCACGTGTGCGTCCCCTCCAGATTCAGCGTCCCCGGCGCCGCCATGCCCGCGAGCGACGGGGAGGTTCGCAACAAGTGTTAAAAGTGGTTCGCCGCTGCACAGACTCTGGAGCGTGAACGACAAGAAATGACACTATGGGTGATCACGTGGGAGAGAAATAGGCTGGAAAAGGTCGTACGATGGTGGGAGGAACTAGCAGAAAGATCATAACTAGGGTTTCAAGAGAACATTTTGCACCGCCACAATTAGGGCGCGTAACTTTTTCCAAACCAACCGTCCGGACAGGGGTTACACTCCTCTCCTTGTTTCTTAATTGGTTTAGGATGCGGTAAAAGTGAGAGGATCGCAGGATCGCGCTGAAAAATCGATCCTCAAAATCGATCGCAGGATCCCGCTGAAAAATTGTTAAGATTCTAAAACCGCTCGACGTCCTTAGAATCTTAACAATACATTGCACCTCCCCTGACCCGAAAAAAAACTAAAACCCAATCTGAAAGGGACGCGAATCGGGAGGCATCAACCCTAAAAAAAAAGCCATTTCCCGTGTTTAGGGTTGATGCCTCCCGAAAATGCGTCCAGGTTCCCTATGGGTTTTAGTTTTTTTTCTGCCATGCCCTAACAGTTCTCGGTAACGTCGTCAAGTGCTCTCGGTAGCGTCGTGTGTCAGAATGTTATGCAGTGTAGGCTGTAGTGGGGTACTCAACAGTGAGTACAACCCTGTTAGGTTTCCTATTTGTATCCCACCTGCCTGCTAGTGCAACCCCTCCTTCTGTTTACCATCCTCGTTCGTTATTCTGACATGCTATCAGTGCAGGTCGACCCTCCCTGGTCGATCCTGTGGATGGGCCCACCCTACTGCTTCCGCTGCTGTTCTGTTAGTCGCGCGCCCCAAGCGCGCGACATTTTTCAGCCCGCCGCGCGCCCCGGGTGCGCGGCGGGCGCGCGGCGGTTTTCTGCTCGGCGCGCCGCCCCGTGGAGCCGAGCGCGGCCCCCGTGCACCCGTCGCGCCGCCCCGTGGGACCCGCGCGCCGCCACGTGGGACCCGCGCGCCGCCCCGTGGGACCCGCGCGCCGCCCCCGGGGACCCGCGCGCCGCCCCATGGGACCCGCGCGCCGCCCCCGTGGACCCGCGCGCCGCCCCAGTGGACCTGCGCGCCGCTTCCCGTGGGACCCGCGCGCCGCCCCCGTGGACCCGCGCGCCGCCCCCGTGGACCCGCGCGCCGCCCCCGTGGACCCGCGCGCCTGTTAAAGTTTAGAAGAAAGAAGAGGAGAAGAGGATTGCACTAGCAAGAATGAGGATACAAATAGCAAACCCTAGAAGGGTTGTACTCGCTATAGAGCACCCCACTACAGGCTAGAGCATAAGATAACATTCTGACAGCGCCGCCCCGTGGAGCCAAGCGCGGCCCCCGTGCACCCGTTGCGCCGCCCCGTGGGACCCGCGCGCCGCCCTATTCTGACTCAACCTGACAAGCCCCATCTCGTGGAACTCGCAGAAGCAGGAACTGGTTGCCCGGTCATCGGTCAAAGCAAAGTTCATCATCGCGACAGCAGCAGTTCGCGAAGGGCTTTACTTGCAGGAACTCTTGCAAGTGGCAAAAAATCCAACTTTGCCGACCTTTCGCCTGCACTGCGACAACCAAAGCGCAATCAAGATTGCGAACAAGCCGGGATTCGTCAACCGCACCAAGCACATCGCGTTGCGATATTTCTTCGTGAAGTTGACAAGGGCAAGGTTGACCTAACCTATTGCCCAATCGGTGACATGGCAGCCGACTTCCTCACGAAGCGACAACCCCATCAGCACAGCATGTCAGAAGTCTAGGCAGGAATGAATGGACTAGAAGAGAGTTGGGTACAAATGTGAAACCCTAATGGGGCTATACCCCATGTTAGCTACCCCACTACAGCCTAAACATATATAGCATATATATCATTTGACACACCCCCATAGGCAAAGTGGGGGAGAGCAAGGGGTCACAAGACCAGTCAACAGAGGCAAAGCAAGCTCAGGGTGGATCACAACGTCACCGCACACGCTGAGCACAAGCAAAGGGCCACAAGGCCAGTTCACATGCAGAGGTATATATGCAACAACAACAGCATAGTGATCTCTACCGAGCAAGAACAAGCATGCAGGTATATATATATAGATCACAGTACAAACAAAGCCTACAGCAAGTGAGGAAACGTAGGCACAAGGCCCGACAAGGTACAAAAGCGCTGATGATCACCAGACGGAAGTGCCTTGGTGAATATATCAGCAGTGTTGGCCCGAGTGGCCACGTGAGCAAGGCGTAGCTGACCACGCTGCTGCAGCTCTCGAGCAAGGAAGTAACACAGAGCGATGTGCTTCGTTCTGTGCTCCAGTCTGTGCTCCTGACACAAGGCAATGGCGGCCTTGTTGTCCACGTACAGCACTGGAGGAGAACGAGGCCGCTCTCCCAAGTCGGTCAGCAGGTAGGTAAGCCAGCGTAACTCCTGAGCAGCCATGGCTGTAGCGTAGATCTCAGCCTCACAACTGGAGCTGAGGACAGAGGAAGAGCGTGTAGACCGCCAAGAAACAGAGCCAGAGCCAAGGCTGAAGGTGTAACCCTGTGACGACCGCTGCGTAGCCTGGTCGTCAACCCAAGAAGCGTCTGAGTGACCAGTGAGGACAACGTCGCCCCGTCCTCCAAGCACGAGCCCCATGCCCGATGTACTGCACAAGTAGCGTAGTACCCTCTTAGCAGCATCCATGTGCACCTTTCGGTGCCAACCAGGAGCCACGTAGCGAGCCAGAAGGCCAAGAGGGTACGCAAGAACAGGACAAGTGCAGGTCATCAGGTACATGAGGCAGCCCACTAGCTCTGGGTAAGGACCACTCGGCTCTACGGACTCGTCCGAAGGTGGAGCTGAGAGCGAGTGACCTGTAGCCAGAGGAGTGGCCTGTGCTGAGGACCAGGTGAAGCCGAAGCGCTGAAGGACCTGCTGCACCATGTGTGACTGAGTCAGTGTGATGGTGCGGCGTGCTCTGTCCCGGGTGATCTGCAAGCCAAAGTAGCTGCGCAGCTCACCCAGGTCTGTGCACGTGTGTCTCTTCTGCAGCTCCGACTTCACCAGGGCGAGAGCCTCAGTGTCAGCAGTGACAAAGACCAAGTCGTCTACGTACACGATGATGTAGAACGGCGGCAGCGAAGTGTCGGTGCGCAGAAACAGCGACGGGTCAGCAGTCGACGGAGCAAACCCAAGAGCCGCAAGTGTCGTCCTCAGTGTGTCGTGCCACTCATGCGGCGCCTGACGGAGACCGTAGACTGGCCGCGGGAGGCTCCACTGGGTACCAGGAGGGAACGACCTAGTAAAGCCAGGTGGGCGGCGCAGCCAGATCTCCTCGTGCAGGCTGCCCTGTAGAAAGGCGGTGCTGAAGTCAAGAGAGTGAAGCTCGTAGTCACGCTGAGCGGCAACGTGCAGCAGCACCCGAAGAGTGGTCATCTTCGGGGTGGGGGAGAAGGTCTGGAAGAAGTCAACTCCCTCCCGCTGACTGAAGCCTCGAGCAACATAACGAGCCTTGACAGGCGGAGAACCCGGTGGCCGCTTCACCCTGAAAATCCACATGCCATCGACGATGTTCGCCCCAGGAGGGGGAACCTCATCGACGTAGGTGCCTGTGGACTTCCAGGATGCCATCTCTGCGTCCGTGGCTGTCTGCCACTAAGAGGAGTACTCACCCGCGATCGCCTCCGCGTAAGAGCGCGGGGTCGGGATGTCTGGAGCATCCGGGTCTCCCTCAGGGGCAAGCAGCATGGCCACGAGATGAGGCGCAGCGGCTGCAAGACACTCAAGGTCCTCCTGCCTGTCCTCAAGGACGTCCGTGCCAAGAGCACACTCACCTCCGACGGACGGAGGACAGACAGACTCAGACTCAGCTTCAAGACTAGCGGCGTAGTCTAGACGACAGGCAGGAGCAAAGTCAACAAGCTTAGCGACGAAGGCAGACGCAGCAGCAGACTCAAACGACGGATCAGTGACAACAGTGGCTAGTAGACGCGTGACAGTAGGGTGCTCAGCACGAAACCGGTCAGACTCAGGGTCAGCAACGACAGGCAGAGAAGACGCAGGAGGAGACGGCAGAGGAACACGCTGCGGAGCAGAGGAAGGACGCAGAGCCATGAGGTGTGTGCCGGGGACAGCCGGCGGACGCGGACGAGGAACACGACGACCAGTGCGGACAGGCGAGACATTACGCGACGCAGGCTCACGACGCTCAGCAAGACCTCCTGGCTGCTCAGTGTAAGGAGAAGGAGCAGGTAGCGGTGAGCCAGGCTGCAACGGAAGAACAGTAGACGACGGGAGGCTAAGAACATGGCGAAGGACGGAGTCAGGCGGTGGCAGAGACGACGGAGACGGCGGAGCAAAGAACAGTCGTGGCTGTGCAGCGCCACCAGCACCAGCAGCGCCACCAGCTCCAGCAGCTCCAGCACCACCAGCAGCTCCAGAACCTCCAGCTCCTGCTCCTCGAGCGCCAGCACCACCAGCAGCTCCAGAACCTCGAGCGCCAGCACCTCCAGCACCAGTGTCACCAGCAGCTCCAGAACCTCCAGCGCCAGCACCTCCAGTACCAGCGTCACCAGCAGCCCCAGAACCTCCAGCGCCAGCACCTCCAGTACCAGCGTCACCAGCAGCTCCAGAACCTCCAGACTCAGCACCGCCAGCTCCAGCAGCTCCAGTACCTCCAGTACGAGCACCTCCGGAACCAGCGACTCCAGCACCTCCTGTAGACAAGGTACCAGCACCACTCCCAGCTGCAGAGCCCCGAGCTCCAGCAGCGAGACCCTGACGGCTAGCGTACCACTCGTGCAGCTGCTGAGGGGAGAGAGGCTCACGCGGACGAAGGCGGCCTCTCCAAGGAGACCGCGCACCAGCAGTCTCAGTACCCTCAGGCGCCGCACCCCCAGACTCAGCACCCCCAGGCGTAGTACCTCCAGCCTACTCACGCTCAGGCTCAGCACCTCCAGGCTCCTCACGCTCAAGCTCAGCACCCCCAGGCTCCGTACCCCCAGGCTCAG